CCACTGCGCGCTCACACTCTGCTGAGTGGATGATCCTCTTCCATCCTCACAACTGCCTATGAGTAGAGCCCAGCCTCCTACAGGCGGGGAAACTGAGGCTCAGCGTTCAGTCAGCTCCGATGCCCCAAGTGTGGGAACACAGCTCCTTCTGACCCCGGGGCCCTCATCCCAGCTGCCTGGAAACAAGCTCCAGTCTAAGCAGGTTGTGTCACCCCCGTGTGCGACACCGTATGTCCACGGAAATACGTGGACTCGCGCGCCACACTCTGCATTGCCCACACACGTAGCCAAGTGGAGGCTTGGACACATACCTCACACTGCATGGATTTCAGATCTGGTCATTTCTTTAGCCAACAATAGTCAAAGAGAGAAATGACTGAAAACAAGCCTTCACGATTTGAGTGGGAAGGAATTCAGCGCCTCTGATTTACCATGAGAGCCTGCTCTGAGCAAAAGCCGCCAGGAGCCACGGTGCCCAGCCTCAGGTTGGTGGGCTCCTGACCCACACGGCTCTGACACCAAAATGAAAGTGGACACAATTCCTGCCCACTGTACCTTGGCTCTAACTGTTCCCAAAGCTAGACCCAGAGACCACTCAGCTATCATGGGTATGGGATGGGGGGGTGCGGGGACACGTCACCAAGTCTGGAACCCCAGAGCGTGCCCAGGGAGAGGGCCAGATGACAGGCACACAAGTGGCCCTCTGGCCAAAGGTTTTGGCCACTTCCAACCATGGAAGCAAGAGGGCCTGGCCCCACACCCAAACACCCCCAACTCAGCCCCAAGCCTTCTCAGCAGGTAAGTTCTCTTTCTTCAAACCGTAACATTTCAGGCCCAAGGGTTGGTGGTGGTGGGGGGGGGGCCTATCGATATTTTTAACTGGCCCATCAGAGAGCTGGCAGGTTTGCTACCAGTCTTCTTTCTACCTGGTTCCCCAGAAAAGAAGCCCTGATGGAGTCGTCTTTCCGGAAGGAACCAAAGGCAATGGCCCTCAGGCCAGCAGAGCAGCAGCTAGCAGCGCAGCAGGCCACCCAGCCTGGCCCCCAAGAGAGGACAGAGACCTTACAGACAGGCACAGCCAGCTTCCCTGACACTCAGCAGAGAGCCACGAAGGTTCCACGTGATGTCTCAGGGAAGGGGAGGAAGAGGGTCCCGAGGCGGCAAGACCAGGTCCCTGTCCCTGCAGATCACTCACTGATAGGAGAACCAGATGCCCAGAGTGCACCCCAGGAGAGCTGGAGTGGGGGTAGGCCAAGCTCCCTAGGACACGGCTGGCCTCACTGCTTCCAGCAAGGTGACCCTGCGTTTGTCCTGTCTCCCTTACAGGTTTTTCAGAGGCAAGGATGTGTGACTATGCATAAGGGACTCAGGCGCTTATGAGCATTAGCTTTGGAGAGGAAACCCCAGAAATGATACGCAGTCACAGATGTACTCGCAAACCTACAGGATATTTGTGTGTGGAGGCTCAGCCAGGGGCTCTGTTCACTCCCTCTGTGGAGTCAGATGCAGCAAACCTGTCTCCCGCAGAGCCCCCAGCCAGCAACACCTCATCCCTAGGGAGGCCCTGCTCTCTGTCCTCCATATGGTGAAAAACAACAACAACAACAAACAGACCACCCCGCCCCCATTCCCCGGGTCTGAAATTCCACCACTAGATTCAGAGCCATAGAATTTCAAGTTGGAACTGACTTTCAAGCTCAAGTCCAACCCCCACCCCACAGAGGAATCCGGTCTGCAGACACCCTGACAGATGGCCACGGACGTGCTCGCCCCTGCTCCAGCGCCGAGGGCAGCCCTTGAGCTGCGGACCAGTTAGTTCTCTCACCCCTCGAATCTAATCACCTTTTCTAAGGTCAGCTCCAACCGATCGCCCAGGACAGGCTTCTCAACCTGAGCCTGGAGCTGCTCATTTGATGAGTAGCTGAAGACAAGCACCAAGGAACTGGATAGGAGGCCAAGAAAGGGTCAGGGCCCAAAGAAGTGCCCCCCCCAAGGGAGGCAGGCAGGTGCTAGCCATGTTGTGCAGTCCCCCCCCCCCACCGGGGGCCCTGCCTGGGTGCAGCACACGCACCACTTACACACAGCTGCCTGTCAAACAGCCCAGCCAGGGCCTCAACTGGACGCTGAGGTACAGGGGAACACCCAGGCCCAGAAGCTCAGCAGGAGTGCCAAGCCACCCAACCCAGACAGCTCGGGAACCAGCAGGAGACAGCCCCTGCAGCAGAGGGGAGAGCTCAAGGAGGGGCCGCCAGACAGCTGGGCTCCCCAAGTCCCATAGGCTGCTGGACACTCCTGCAAGCCTAAGGAGAAGAGCTTCCCTGGCTGCAGCTGTCACATCTGCCTGGGAGGAGGGAGGAGGCACAGTGGAGCAGCACCTGATCCCAGGGTCCCTTGGCAGCGGCAGCCTGAGGCCGGTTCAGGGCTGGCAGCCCAGGGTGAAACATGAAGACTGAACAGTCCCCCGGAGATGCTGATGGCAGTCTCTGGGCAGGCAGTGGAGGGCAAGCTCGGTCAAGGAGCGAGGGGCTACTCCCAGTCTCCTGCCCCTCATGGTTTGGAAGGAGGGCAAGATGCACGGCTCTGGGGCTGGCTGGGTCCTTCCTCACCCAAGCCTGGCCCAACACAGGCCAGAGCTGCCCAGCTGGGTGCAGAACGCCATCTTGGGTCAAGGTGCAGTCCCAGGGGGCTCCTCTCAGAGCTGGGGAAGAAAATCCTTGAGAACCTGTGAGCACCCTATTCCCCACCCGGGGCACCAACACCTACTCAACGGGCTTCGCGGTGGAGACGAGAAATGACAGGGGTACGGGGAGAAGAGGGAGAAATAACCGAGGGGGAAGGAAAGGAGTGGGTGCCCCAAGAAGGGAGGCTCCAGGAAAGCTAAAGGCAGTTTGGCAGCCCGGGGGCCGCAGGCCCCAGCGTTGGGGGGCTGGGGGAGGCCGGGGGCGGGCCCTGGATCCACGCCAGCTCGTCCGTGCACGGAGGGGGAGAGAGGGCAGGGCGGCTTGGGGGAGGGGAGCGGGGTGAGGGCGGGACACGGACCGCGGCTGCCTGTGGCTCGGAAACTCTGGGTCTCCCGGGGCGCGGGGTTGTGGGGTTGAAGACCCCCGATCCGCAGCCTCGGCAAGGCCTCGTCCTTCACTGTGCAGATGCGAAGCTTTCAAGGACACGTCTGCACCGGCCCAGCGGGGGTGCGTGTGCGTGAGTGTGTGCGTGTGAGTGTGCCCGGGAGTGCTGGTG